ATAGCTCTCTTTGCTCCCTGGTATCCAATCGGTAATGCAGCAGGAAAGGTATACGGATCCAACCGTTACGTCGCCATGGTGTGCCTTGCAATTCCATTTTATGCTTGGATTCTCTTGGAAATCCTTCAAGTAGTTGAGGTTGGCCTGGCGTACGTAGGATGGGCTGTGCTGTTTGGGTTCATAGCTTACGGTACTGGAGTACGTGCGGAAATCCGAGAAAAATTCCACATCGTAGGCAACCTTGGAGAAGACATGTTTGCCATGATGCTGACCTACCCATTGGCAGCCTTGCAGATGGAAGAACAGATGAATGTGGAAGGCTATCCRGGAAATGGAATGAAAAACGAGGCTGGGAAGACGAACATGGCACTTGATGCTATGGAGAAGAATGAGATAGCGAAGAGTGATGAGGCAAATCATGGCATCCATGATAAACCTACCATGTCAGAAATATCCTCTTTGTAGAACTGCATTTGAACTGTTTGAAAAATGGACATTTCTTATTAATCTTTTATTCGCTTTTAAGCATAGTATGCACACTTTGTAGATAACACTATACATTCATTCATGACGCTGAATTCATCGTTTGAATCAGTAAGTGGATGACAATTGTGTGAGTCAATATGAGATATTAATTAGTATTTCCATATGCACTTTAGATTAAACACGTGTAGCAATCAATATAAATGATGAAATAGAAGTTTATTGAAGTACAATAGTCTTAACCTCATAAAGTCATCGAACCATTCGYACTGAGATGCTAATTTGATATTTGTGCTTATTTTAAAATATATCTAGCTTAATGCTTATTTTTATCATTTTATATATAATTTAATTAATGTGTGATATAATCAATAAAGTGATTTTGCATATTTAAAAGTGTTCAATTCAAGTATGTTATCATCTTCAACAGAAGCATACTTGTTCAAAGTATAGGTTTCATCAATTTACAAAGTCATTTTAAGACAGTCGATTCTTTGTTTTTAAGTTTTTTTTTTTATGGAGAAGAATGAGATAGCGAAAAGTGATGAGGCAAATAATGGCATTCCTGACAACAAACCTGCTATGTCAGAAATATTCTCTTTGTAAAACATTGGATCGATCTTTATTTTTTGTGGATGTATTATGATTTAAATATTTGCTTTCTTTAAGATATCATGCCCCACTTTTGTGGAAAGCTCACCATGTAAAATCAGCTAAAAATGCTTCCACCTTTTATTTTCTGTTAATGTGCAATCAATGCAGTCCAATAGAAAATCCTTACTGGGGTTTGCTAAAGAATAGGAAATATAAAACTGAATGTAAAAAAGATGATAATGACAATGATAATGATAATCATAACGATAATAATTTCATGATTGTAATATTGTAACGATAACATTGTGACGGACGTACACCTCCACACAAAGAAAGAATTCCCAAGAGCCTTAGCGGCACTGTAGAACATGTGCTTTTAAAAAAATTGATAAAAAACGTGTTCGTTTGAAACTTGTGTGTTTTTACCTGTTTTATCGTGTTCTTCACGGTCAGACATATTGCAAGGTCCAGGGCGGGAAAAATGTACTAGAAGTCCTAAAGACCGTGTTCTAAGCATTGACAAAATTTTAAAGATGACAAAACCGGAAAATGGCCGAAGAGCCACAGGTTCAGTTGATGACAGAGCTGACGAAAAAGACACAAAAAAATTCTGCGAAAAGCTGAAAATTAGTACAGAGGGAAGCAAATCTAAGTTTTGACGAAAAAGACGGAATTGACGAAAGTGTCGGACGACGATAAACCAAAATGTCTCCATGATTTGCTTGAACTCGTCGCTGATATCTCGCCACTTTTAGAGAGAACAGCCGCCAGCAAAGTCAAGAAAGAAGAAAAAATTAAACAGGAAGGCGTGCTAGAGTGTTCTACTGTGTCAATTCAAGATAATAGGTCAGATCCGTGAAGCCAAACAGAAAGATAAGTTAACTTATAATTCACTTGTAAGGCAAATGAAATCTGGGTTGGGTCAGGGATACCAAGATGTTGAAATAGAACGGAAATCGAAATCGAAATAAATTTTAGCGTTAGTACTTTGCAATGTTCCTGGAATACCGGATTTCAAGCGATAGCGCTAAAACTTTCCACACTTGTTGACGTATAACTCTTGTCAAAATGTCTGATGTTTTTGGTATCTTGTCGCGTTCTGAAGTTTTAGCAAGATTTGTAAAAAAAATCTAAAAATTACGTCTTTCAACTTGGAATGGAATATTTCCGCAAAAAACGCGTTAATAATAATAAAAAAATGAGACGCTTTTTTAGAGATCAAAGTGTGCTCTAAATGAAGGCGGTAAAACTTTATTAGCACAATGAAATCCGGTGTTCTTGGAACAKGATTGCTTGATGAGAATGTTCGTGTAAGGATAAGCCCTTTCTTGAGCGACCATACCGTACAAGATGAAGACCTGATTCATCAATTCAACATATCGGCGATGRCCRCTGAGGGGAAAAGGAATAGAAAATTCAAGTCCCAACCAAAAAATAAACCTGCAAAAGTGTGTATTCTTGGTACTGAGAGGGGAAATCAGGGGTCTAATAAACCTAATAAGAGTTTTAAGGCCTAATAAGGGGGACCACACCMAACACACTAGTTTTAACATGACAACAATATCAAAGAGTGTCTCAAGGCAGAGGAAGTCAAACCCGCAGGCTACCCCCTCCCAAGGCCAGGGCACTGACCCCGGCCACGCCTAGCAACAACAGTAGGTATCAGTTCCCGGGTTTCAAAATGCCAAGCATGTAAGGTGCACGCATTGTTTCAAATGTGATGAAAAAAGTGATRAACACTCCGCAGCAGGATGCCGTCAGTCCCAGCGCCATTTAAACACAGGGGGCCCAGGCTAAACAGTTGTGYTGCTTTCATTGCGGTGTCAAAGTATTAATTGCGCGTGGTTAGCGGTTCGAGCCCTCATGAAGCCGTAAATTTTTTCTACTCCATTTTTGAAACTTTTCAAGACTTTCTCTTTCTTTTCTTTTTTCTTTAATAAGTATAAACAGTTTTATGAATAAAGATTGATATTGTTCTTTAAGGTGTCAAAGGGGGTATTGGAACGAGCACCAAAACATTTGTAAAACAATCAAATATTATCAGCGGAAACCATCAGGGAAACCGGGAACTAAACTTGACTGCTGTAAACCGGCGGTACAAAACTCCCATTTACCGGGTGGGCAGAAAGCAAAGTCAGACTTCCAGCGGAAATAGACAAAGGAAAAGAGATCGTAGTTCCAAKTACCCTTAATTTCTAGTTACGGAAGAACACTTATAGAAACCCATATTAGGTTACAATGTCATTGAGGAACTCACCCGAATTGACTTCAGTTTTAACTCCACCAGCTTAGCGAAGTATGCCATTCTCGAACTACCCCGTACCACCCCCGGGGTAATGGACAGGTAGAGAGATTCAATCGAACACTACTATCAATGTTACGCGCTCTGCCTGACCGATACAAGACGTGCTGGAGTGACCATCTAATTATTGACAATTCATGCTTACAACTGTACTCGAAATGACTCCACTGGTTACGCAACATTCTTTATTTCTCTGTTTGGCAGACACCAACGACTCCCAAGGGACGGACACACACCCCCACCCAAGGGAAGAATTCCCAAGAGACTTAACGGAATTGTATAGAACATGTAMTTAAAGATTGAAAAAAAGTGTTAATTTGAAACTTGTGTGTTTTTATCTGTTTTGTCGTGTTCCTCACGGTCAGACATATAGGTAGAAACATGATATCATACTGGAGCCTCAAATTTCCTTTTAAAAGCATCTACCCTGTTGTTAGGCTTTCCATTTTCCTATTAACAGTTTGAAAAAATAAGAGTACATTTGGTAATCTGTTGTTGAATTTTCAAAACCATCATTACTGGTTTAGGTAGACAATCACCTGAAATAAGGAGCTTTACTAATTTATACATCAGGGCAAGTAAGCCTGCAAGTCTGCGATAATCTTTGTAAACGTGTTGCGTGTCGTTTTATCCCACTCGAGTATAGGTCTAACTAGGCCAAACAGGCTTGGGTCTTTAACTAGTGTAAATTCACTCACATATTACGTCTTAGAAAGTATTTGCTTTCGTTTAGTTATTTTGTTGAAATGTGTGTTCCAAGTAATGTTAGAGAAAAACAGTAACACCTATACTTTGATCTATCATTAAATACCTTAGCTTTTTTTCTTGCCTTAGAAATCACTTTGCAGTCACATAGTTTCAGAGCAGTGACTCACAGGTGCTCGGTTATACGGTGTTTTACAAAAGACTATACTCGATTAAAGTGCTACTTGCATGAAAATGGTCTTATTTCAAAACTTCAAGCAATACAAATATATGACTCATTTATATATATTAAAAACAATTGCGGGAAAATATTTGTTTTGGAATTATCCCACGTCAGAGAAATTTTGATTCAAAAGATGGAAGAACAAAAGGATGAAGTAAATGACGTCATCTACTCCAACATTTTTTGCTCAAATGATTAAGGATTTGTATCAATATCTTCTTGAAATCTGTTGCTTCATGGTTATTAGACTCATATGGATAGGTCTATTTGATTTCCAAGTCTTTTCTAATGTTTCGCAATTTTCGTCCAAGTAGTCCTTTAAATGTCATGCATTTGGAGAGATAATGGTATCGACATGCTTCCAGTATTCCTCTAAATCCTTTATTCTTTGACCAAGTTCAGTGTATGGTATAGTCCAGTGACTAGACCCTCTTTTCTCAATAACTATATGATATTATATGTAAAAGTTTTAACTTTAAAGTTTAAAAAAATCAAAAGCGCGCGCTCAAAAAAATTGATTTTTCATTTGTATCACCTATTTTGATGCATTGAGTCCGATAATACATTTTTTTCGACCAATGAAATAGTGAAAAATAAAAAAATAAAAGTTGTGAAATAAAAAAAAGTTGTAAAATAAAAGTTATGTCTTAAAATAAAAGTTAAGATACTCTGGAAATGTACCAATTTCAGTCAACCAATGGCAGCCCTGTTGTTATGCTTTGACATACTTTTAGCAATTAAATGTTTGTTGCAGAGGGGTAGAAGCCTCCTCTTTTGAAATTATTTTAAAATATTGACCCATTAATATATAACCATCATTAACAAAAAGCCCTTTTATTTTACTTCGACCAAGTTTTAAAGAAYATTCTGTCTGAAATGAATATTAAAATATCCAAATATTATGAAAATGTACTTTTTGGACATCGCGGTATCGAAAATTTGATTTGTGACACACCCAATATSATAGATCGTTTTATTAAATACATCTTCAGTGTTATTAAAAGATTGTGAAATTTGAACTACCATCTATAGTGTGCATTTCACCATTTGACCCACCCCAATTTTTTTAAAGTATTTAAACCTAACCCCCCCTTGATTTCTCCCCCCCATAGAAATAATGAYGCGTCCCTTGATCAAAAAAACTTTTTAATCA